ATATGCAAAAGATTGAAAATCCATACAGCATACAAAAAACAATTCAAAATAAGTCAAAACTTAAATGTAAGAGCCAATACTATAAAACTCTTAGAAGACAATGTGGAGATAATGTGGAATCTAGTAAAAAATTAGAAAAACCAGGGAAATGCCACAGTCTGGCTGGGCACAAATAACCGAGCTGCCACAAAGCCTTGTAGATTCAAACAGCAACTCTTTATTCTCCAACTCTCACCGGCACTGCACACACCACACGGGAATACACTCCCTCCACCGGGCTCTGTCCAATCTCTCGACCCCGCAGAGAACTCCAAAGTAGGGCCCCCTAGGCAGCAAGAGCCGCCCTATTGCCCGACAGTAAAGGTCAAATATACAATTCAATCAATCCAGCATCACAGCAATTATATATAGCTTAACTCAAATCATCATCTCAATGGTTCGCTGGCATAATCTTTTAACCATTCTCTCTGGCAAATGCCAGGCGTCATTCTGACTGGGCCGTGGCTCTCAACAGGGAAAAACTTGGTGAAGAAAGAAGTTGACCACAGACTTGGCAATGGATTCATACATATAACCCCCAAAACACTAGCAACAAAAGAAAGCATAGGCAAATTAGATTTTTCAAAATTAAAACCATTTGTGCTTCAAAAGACACTATAAAGGATGTGAAAACACAACCTACAGAATGGGAGAGAATAGGTGAAGATCATGTATCTAGTAATAGTTTAGTATTGGGGAAATACAAAGAAGACTTACAACTCAACAATTAAAACATGGGCAAAAAACTTGAACAGACATTTCTCCAAAGATATACAAATAGCTCAGAAGCATGTGAAAAGATACTCAATATCATTAGTCATTTAGGGAAATGGAAATTAGAACCACAGTAGGTACCACTTCACATGCATTAAGGTGGCTATAATATTAGAAAATGGAAAATACTGTTGGTTAGGATATAGAGAACTCTTGTACATTGCTGGTGGGGGTATAAAATGGCACAGCTGCTGTTGACAACACTCTGGAAGTCCCTCAAAAAGTTAAAATTACCCTATGACCCAGCATTTTCATTCCTGGTTATATACCAACAAAACTTGAAATGAGACATGCCTAGTTATCTGACTACATTTTGAATGGACTATACTTCTCCACTGATTAAGGTTATTTCAAATGCTACTTAAACTTGCACTTAAATAGAAATCATATTTCATTATGTAGTAACCTTGATTTGCTAGGTACACAGCAGAACAGCATCTAATTAATCATTATATCCAAAGCGGACATGGGAGGAAGGATAGTGAGATGTCAGATAACAAACACAGAAGAAATAAGTTCTAGAGAAGAGTGGAAAGACTACATTTCACAATGACCTATTGTTGCTGGGTGTGATGGCACTTGTGGTACACACCTGTAATCCCAGCTGCTTGGGAGGCTGAGGCAGGAGGATTGTGAGTTCAAAGCCAGCCTCAGCAACTTAGCGAGGCCCTAAGCAACTCAGTGAAACCCTGTCTCTAATTAAAAATACAAAAAAGGGCTGGGGATGTAGCTCAGTGGTTGAGTGTCCCTGAGTTCAATCCCCGGTACCAAAAAAAAAAAAGAACCTATTGTATGTTTGAAGAATAACTAGAAGAAAAAAAAAATAACTAGAAGAGAGGAACTTGGAAGTTCCAAACAAAGTAATTATAAAGAGATGGAAATGGTAATTACCCTCATTTGATCAGTACATATCATACAGATGTATTGAAATATCACACTGTAAGGGACCGGCAAACGACGGAGGAAGAGACCACCAAGAGACCGACTCATGCAACCACAAAAGGGGGTTTATTGAGGATCCAGCGCGCTGGGGCTCCGTGCTCACTCAAGAAGGGAGAGCGGCCAAGAGCCCTGAGAACAACTTGAGCAGGTGCCGCAGTCTGGCTGGGCACAAAATCACGAGCCACTCAAGCAGGAACAAAGTTTATTTTTTGAAACTGCCGCCAATGTCCGGTACCGCCCCGGCAGAGATTTTTTCCACCCACGCGGCCTCCTCCAGACCCGCAGAGAGAGCTCCTCCCCCGGAACTCCCTCCTACTGTACTTCCCCAACCAATGGGAACTCTCCAGGAGTCCCGTAGCCGGCCTAGGTGAACAGCAGGAGTCCAATATCCATATGAATGCAAATCTTAACATAATCATATCATCTCAATGGCTAGCTGGCGTCACGACCAAAAATGCCATGCATCATATACTTGGCTCTTAGCATCTCCCCCCTTCTGTTTAAGTAACAAGCAATCTGGCTAGGGACCGTGCCTGTTAGGTTTGTCCAATTCAACATATGGTTCTTACCCGTCATCGGAAAACTGACTTTTAGGCGTCAGCCTCCTGTCTTAGGTTGATACCACTGCAATTGGATCATACCCGTCACTGACTACCGGTCCAGCATATAGCCATACTTGTGGATAGGCCTATGTACCAGTGGGGGGGTGAGGTTCTTTACCTCACCTCTGTTGGCCCCCAAAATTAGACCATCACTAGTAGAAGGGAGGAGGATACAGAAATGTCATGACACCAAGTCAATTAACAGCTCCTAGGAAAAATTGCATCACTGGTGACACATCAGCAAAGATACGCTAGCACTACCATAATTCGCTGCATCAACAAATAGATCACAAAGCATACAAGTGATACATAGTCCAGGCAAGTTCTGTAAGCAGTTCAAAGCAGAGGAATCTATCAATATGTCCATATCCTCCCAAAATAAAGCATACAAGTGACACATAGTCCAGGCAAGTTTTGTAAGCAGTTCAAAGCAGAGGAATCTATCAATATGTCCATATCCTTCCAAAATAAATCGACTCATTGATTGAGCATTACTTGTTGAGTTATAAATCATTGATGTATCAGTTTACACGGTTTGTTGTGATAACTCTCGAAGAAGTTGTAGTTTGGTTTTATCTTTGTCTTCACTGGCACTGGGATGAAAATAGGAATTTTGACAATGATGCTAAAAAAATGTAACATTTCAACAGGTACTAAGAAAACAATATTTAGAACAATTTACATTATCCTGAACAGAATTATTAAATATAATGAAAAGGAAAGGTGAAAGTAAACAAACAGATCTGTTAACCTTCTATTTGTTCATATATTAAAATAATCCTCAACAGCTGTTTACCCAAATTAAATTAAACTATTAAAATCACGTGAATAATAAAAAAAAATTTTACTTGGCTCTTAGCAAGCAGGGTTTATATACATTTTTTTAGGGAGGGCAGGGACTTTACATACATCACAGTCCCCTTCAACAAATCACCATATACCGCGGGAAAATCAAACAACAACTCTCGAACATGATTAGTACATTCATTGGCGGGAACAGGTCGGGCGGGGGTGATAGGTTAGTCCTAAGGCGGGGTATACATTCAAACTGATTGGTTTAGGCCCCGGAGTGCGTAAGTGCTGAGCTGATCGGGGTCCGGGTTGTTAAGCAACTAGGTAGTCAAGGGGGGGGGATTCCGACACACACCTAATGGGCGGTCCGGGAATTGTCTTAACTACCACAGGAATGTCAGGCTTTGAGTGTAGCTTAGAAACTTTACAATACCTGGTCCTTTACATTTTAACTCAGGCTTTGCAGCTTAGAAGCTTTACAATGCCTGGTCTTTTACATTTTAACTTCAATTTCTTTTATCCTTTCAACACTATACTTTTATAAATATGTACAATTTTTTCATGTTAATACAAAAATTTAAATGTTTGGGGCTAGGGATATAGTTTAGTTGGTTGAGTGCCTGTCTTGCATGCGCAAGGCCCTGGGTTCAATTTAAATATTTAAGGAGATGAAAATGTTAACTACCCTGATTTGATCATTATATGCTAATGAAATTATCACACAACATCCCACAACTTCATAAGTTAAAATGATAATTTTAAAAACATATTTTTAAAAATTGAACACAACTTCTTTTGACATGAATAAATTATCTAAACCTGTGTTCTCCCATCCATAACAAACGGCCCTCCATGTAATGCTAAATACACATTTCTCAGGTTTCTCACATGGCAGGTGTTCAGGTCCTACTAGCTCACGTATCCAAATTAATTGATCTAAAGGGTTCTTTTGCTAACATTTGTATTTGTTTTCCAGACCACTGAATGACTCACTAGGAACAGTAAAATATAACATAGAAGAGGCATGGAGTCAAATCCTGACTCATTTTATGTAAGCTTCACTTCACTTATAAAACTTACTTGTCTTGAGAATTAAATGTATATAACACATGGTAGACAGTCAAAAATAAATTTTCATCTCTATGTCCTTTCATCTATTATTTATTTCACACAGAGGTCATGCCAATGTACACTTACTAGAAATGTATGCAATTTCTGTTACTTGATATCTTCACCAATACTTGGTTTTGTTAGACTCTTTAATTTTTGCCATTCTGGGGAGAATAGAATGGTATTTACTATGGTTTAACTTTTCATTTTCCTGATTAATAATGAGGTTTAATATCATCATCATCATCATTATTGTTTTTTGCAATGTAATGTGGTTATTAGGAGCTATTTTCATTTTTCTATTGGGTCGTATTTTTTTGTACATTCTGGGTATCAGTGTTTTGCTGATTATCAGTGTTAAAACTGCCTTCTACTTTGTGGTTTATGTTTTCATTTTCTTTATGATAGCTGTAAACAAACCAAATTTATCAACTTTACTGTAGTCAGATTTATCAACTTTTCATTTATTGTTAGCAGCAATTTTTGTTTCTTGAAAGTTTTTCCCTGAGGACTGCATGTGCCCCCGCGCTAGCTTTGTATGCTGAGCCGCCTGCCGGTCCTTTAACAATGGGCGGCGGGAGCGCCCCGGCGCTGGGCCCGAGCTGAGGCCGGCGCGTCGCTGCCGACTGTCCGCAGCATGAGCGGGGCCGGGGTCCCCCGCATGCCGGCGGGGCTGGGGCTGTGAAGGCCGCGGTTCCGGACTGAAGTTGCCGCGTCTGGCTAGGCGCGCCGCCGAGTCTCATGGAGCTGGAGGGGCAGTGGTGGTGAGGACAACTGGCTGCTGATATTCACCAAGCGCTTCGGTACAAGGAGCTGAAGTTGCCCTCCTACAAAGGCCAGTCCCCTCAACTAAGTCTCAGAAGGTATTTTGCTGATTTGATTGCCATTGTGAGCAATCGCTTCACACTCTGCCCTTCGGCCCGACATCTTGCTGTCTATTTGCTGGACCTGTTTATGGATCGCTATGACATCTCTATCCAGCAGCTGCATTTAGTTGCACTTTCCTGTCTGCTTCTAGCAAGTAAATTTGAAGAAAAAGAAGATAGTGTGCCTAAGCTGGAGCAGCTCAACAGTCTGGGTTGTATGACTAATATGAATCTAGTATTAACAAAACAAAATTTGCTACATATGGAACTATTATTATTAGAAACCTTTCAGTGGAACCTCTGCCTTCCAACAGCTGCCCACTTTATCGAGTATTATCTCTCAGAAGCAGTACATGAAACAGATCTTCATGATGGCTGGCCAATGATTTGCTTGGAAAAAAATAAACTCTACATGGCCAAATATGCAGATTACTTCCTGGAAGTATCTCTGCAAGATTATGCCTTTCTAAATTATGCACCTTCTTTAGTAGCTGCTGCATGTGTGGCTTCTTCGAGGATTATACTTCGTCTTTCTCCAACGTGGCCTACAAGACTGCATCGTCTTAGTGCTTACTCCTGGGATTTCTTAGTGCAGTGTATTGAACGACTGTTGATTGCTCATGATAATGATGTAAAAGAAGCAAACAAACAGAGAGGACAGGCAGGCCCTCAGTCAGCACAACTAGGTGTGTTCCAGA